GATGCTCGTTCATGGTGCACCCAGGGGGGCCTTGGGCCTGCAGCCATGCAGGGTCCCTCAACACTACACAGCAAAATCAAGAGAAAGATCCATGGCCTCATATCTGGTAATCTGGGGAATCTGGAAACTGTCTTAAGGAAGCATTTCAAAAGTGAAAAAGAAAAAGCTGTATGCACAAAGATATGGATTGTAGTATTACCTGTGAAACTCATAAATCAAAAACAATAAAGAAACGTCTAAGTAAATGATAACACGAACAACAAGAGTGAATGTAGTCATTAGAATGACACGGCACTGCAAATACTCCCCACATTAAATGAAACCAATAATGCACATATATTTACCATGGCAACATGTGTTTGTGGACAAAACATTTCAGAAAGCATAGAGAAAATGAAAACAGCTATATGATGGGTGGATGGGGCCATCATACTAATGACTTTTAAATTTTAATATCTGTGAAAGTTTTGCAAGCACATAATTTTAAAAATTAATGAAAACTAAAATGCTTGCAGCAAAAAATGAGCAGTCCCTTGACATCCACATCCAAACCAACCACCCCCGATTTCAGTTGTACCTTTTGCATTTATCTCTGCATTTCTAAAGAACAGGTTTATCCTGATATTTCTTGATCTTCAACTTTTAACTTTTTACCTGAGAAGATGAGTTTGTGCTTTCCTTCACATACACACATGCATGGATCCTCTCCCCCATTTCCTGGATATAGTTACGTGATCACTTTCTGTTAATCAAACTTTAGTTCTTACATTATTATAACCATGTAAATATTGTTCAAAGCTAAGCCACATCCTATACTATGGTTTCCTTTCTTGTTCAACTTTTTGTTACTCCTACCGTTGCCTCGTTTTTAATTTTCTTTGCTTTCTATGTGTGAACATGTAATTCTTCCTCAAACTCTCTAACAGCACTACAAAATCCTTATAATACAGCAAATATGTCAGATAATCCATCAGCTCCATTTTTTTCTTAGAGATTCCTCCTGGGGCCCTCAGCCATCTTGCTCCAAATTGGGCTGGCTGCTCTCTAGACCAGCTGCACAACTGTGATATTGGAACTTCTCTTCACTATCATTATGGGAATTCCCTTCACCTTCTCTCTACCAGTCAGGGTTCTTGGTTGCAAGTAAAGAAGCTGACTCTCACTGATTAAGCAGGGAAGGAGCTGACAGGTTGTCTGACATATTTGCTGCATTGCGAGGGGTTTAATAGTTCTGTTGGAGAGTTTGAGGAAGAATTAGTGATTAGTCCATTGAACACAAAGCAAATAAAAATATGAGGCAACAAACAAAGCAATTAAAAACATGAGGCAACTATCAACTCCAGGAAAAACAAAAAGTTGAACAAGAAAGGAAATATAACTGTACTACACCATGTGGACTCCATGATACAGGATCATGTCTGATGGCAAAATTGCTGGTATTGCCACTGAGTACTGGGTGCTACCTTGTACCCCTGCCACTTCTGTGCCAAGAACTCAACCTTGAAGCCCATCCCCGCTATCACCACCATAACCATGGAAACAACACACGTTTCATCCCTCTCTTCTCTGTCAAAATATAACATAGGTACATTTCATCAGTGGAGCCCACATCACAGGTGCTGGCTGCAGGGGAGGCTTGGAAGAGAGTACTTTTCAGTTTCCATGGTGGGGTAGGTGTTTTTTTCCCTCCCCACTCCCAAGGCTCAAAGTAAGACAACAGCTGAAATACAGAAAGTCATCTGGTGGCTGAGCCAAGTGAGAAACAAGAGACAACTGCATATTGTACCACTCGTTCCTCTTTCTTGGTTTACTCTCTCTTTTTAGTAGAGCACATCCTCTAGTAGCTTCCTTGAAAAGGGATACAAAGAGTGTGTGTGTGTGTGTGAAGTTTTTGAAAAATTACATGTCTGAAAAAGGTCTTCATCCTATTATTTTGCTTGAATGATGATTACAGAATTCTGGGTTGGGAATTAATTTCCCTCTGTAATTTGAAAGAGTTGCTCCACTGTCTTGTAGCTCCTGGTGTTGATTTTGTAAAGTCCAACGCCATTCCGTGCTCTGATCTTCTGTATGTGGCCCCTTTTCCCTGCGCTGGCTTTTAGTAACTTCTATCTCTGGACTTTTGGAAGTTCATGTTAATGTCCCATAGAATATCTTTTACTTTGATGTAGTGTATCTTTTTAAAAATATATATTTATTTATTTTTATTTTTGGCTGCATTGGGTCTTCATTGAGGCACGCAGCATCTTTTTGTTGCAGTGCGTGGGCTCTTCGTTGTGGTGCATGGGCTTCTCTCTAGTTGTAGCGTGTGGGTTTTCTCTCTCTAGTTGTGGCACGTGGGCTCCAGAGCGCGTGGGCTCTGTAGTTGCGGCACGCGGGCACTCTAGTTGAAGCGCACGGGCTCAGTAGTTGTGGTGCGTGTGCTTAGTTGCCCCGCGGCACGTGGGATCTTAGTTCCCTGACCAGGGATTGAACCCGCGTCCCCTGCATTGGAAGGCAGATTCTTTACCACTGGACCAGCGGGTAAGTCCCTGATGTACTGTATCTTATTATTCATTGGGCTGAGTGCTACACAGAGATTCTTAATGCAAACTCTTGAGTTCTAGATTTTTTTTTCCTGGAGTTTAATAACTTTTCCTTCTCCATTTCTCTCCCTTGAGCTCCTATGAGATGGATACTGGGCCTCCCAAACTGCTCTAATTTTCTTATCTTCTCTTTCTTATTTTCCGTCCCTCAAGTCTTTCTGTCTTACTTTCTAGAAATTCATTGTTCAATCTTCTAACTCTATTCTATTGAAGTTTCTACTTCCACTAGCCTAGTTTTGATATCCAAGAGCTTATTATTGTTTTATAAATATGCCTTTTTTAAAAACAACCATGTTTATGACTTCTGGGTCTCTGTCTTTCATGTTAGAGGACTCATTCGGCATGTGACGATCCAGGTTGCCCATTCAAATTTAAGAGAGAGGCACTGAAAGGTGCTTGTGCAGGGCCGGTTGCTTGGTAGGTGTCGCTGAGAAGTAGCGTTTTTTCATGAGGTTGGGTTCCTTAGAGAGAAGTTCAAGGCCCCTGCCTGGAGGATGGGTAGAAGCTAGGCTGCCATGTTCCAGGAACCAGCTTGGAGAGGGTCTGTCTATTCAGCATGCAAACTTTCACTGAATCTTCCTGTTCTCAATATAGAGCCTCCCCTGCCTTCTGCTGCTCTGGTTCAATACTGCCTGCAGGAAACTAGCCATCTTCTGCTGGTAGAGGAGGGAGCTGCCTGGCTACGTGGCCTGAGAGAGGGGTCTGTGGCTCTAACACACACTTTAAACCAATATTCCTGCTTCCAGCCCCGCTCCCTGCCCCCATTGTTGGGAACACTCTGTGGCCCCCATTCTTTAGCCTTTGGTGGGTCGTGTGTACAAGCCACCTTGCTTCCCTCACAGCCAGGACATTCAACATTCTAAGCTTTGCTTTTCTTTCACCCACTTGCTTCCCATCTTTCAAAAGTTTTGCTCATATCCCTCCCCCTCTATCATCATTTTCTGTTTTCTTAAGGATTTATACCTTTTTATTCCTCTACTCTCATTTTAGTGGGCTTTTGAAACAGAGCAGAGATAAACACATGCATTCAGTTATGTTTTTGTGGAAGTTCATGATAATATTTACCAAGAAATAAAAATCAAGTTTCCAAAGATACACGCACAGAAGACTCTCCAGGGAGGATACTCCAACAAGGAAACAATGGTTCTTTCGGGAGGGGGGTAGGATTATAGAAGAGTGATGCTTGTAATTTTTTTGTATTTTGTAAACTTCCGACAGTAAATAGGTATCCTTTACAAATCAAAAAGTAGGAGGGTTAAAAATCATGACTTAAAGGCATCTTCTGTAACACAAATCAAGATAGTGTCAACAGGTGTGTAGCAGAAAAAGAAACTCTAATTCCTCTACACAGGTCTACGTAATCCATGGTTTTCGCCTATGTGCCAGGGAGTCCTGAGGTTCCACAGAAGCACCCCAAGGCCTTCAGAGGGTGGCAGGAGTAGGACAGCTGCTCAGTGGGAGGAGTTCTGGGCCAGTCTCTACTTGTACCACAGTGGCACTCTTTTAATCTGCTTTAGAGGTTAAAATTCTGCTTAATACTTTGATCTTTTTAAAGAGGTCCACACTAACAAAGAAGTTTGGAAAGTACCAATGAAGACCTAGAAAAAATGAGGTGGGGTGGGGGAAAGCCTCCAAGGATGACATCATGTAACCCCGTGCCCTACCTGAACCATCAGAAATGACAGTAGCTGCTCGAGCAACTGTATAAGGAAGATGGTGCTGTGCACCCACAGAATACATATGAACCCACACAGCTTGCAAACGGGACAAATCTGCACACTTGCTAATCACACCCAGCTGCCCCCAGATACCAAAGGCAGGTGTTCAGCGAAGGCTCAGTCAGTGTCAGTCTCTGACCTCAATTTCTTCATTTGCACAATGAAGGGACTACATTCAGCTTGCAAGCTAATGTCCCAGAAGTTCCAAGGAGCATCCTCTTACTGATCCAGTGACTGCCAACTCTCTAGAGAAACAGAATGTCCCCACCTAAGGACTCCTTGAGAAGCAATATCAAGTTATGAAAATCCAATCCACTTCCTTCGGAAGAAGGTTTTAATTTTTCTCGCACCAAACAGGTCAGCCCAGCTCTATTATGAACGCAGCAAGTCAAATACGAAATGCTGCAGTTTAATAATGGGCTCCAGGGCTCCTCGGAGCACAGCCATCCCTTCCTTCGCAGGTAGCAGCATCCCTCTCTTGGGAAGCTGGCTGGGGTCTAGTTCACATCCCCCTTCATAGGCTCTGAGCACAAATTTGGGTCACTCTCTTCCTTTTAGCATTCTAGTCCTAAAGAGAAGTTCTCCTTTGGCTAGATAGTCAGGGAGGGTGGATTCCATTCAAATTCTTAACCTATCTACAAAATAACATCTCCTCTTCCCCCCGCCCACACACACTTGTTTCCTTTGCCCAACCTACCTCTCTGGAATGGTCCAAGAAAGACCAGCAGCAAAGGTCCCTCTGCCTGGCAGATTAAAGATGCTTTGGGATCAATGAGCGTCATTCCGCCCTTGCCTGACTCTGAGCTCCTTATCTGTCTGAAAAAAAGGAAAAGAAAAGAAAAAGAAAGAGAAAGAAAGAAATCTTTAAAAAGAGAAAGTCTCAGAAAACTTCTGTGCATTCTCTTAGAGGACTTTAGCTCAAAAGCAACTGTCTCACCAAGGTTTCCTTTTTGCAAACCAGTCACATTGTACTTAATGGGCCTTTTTCACCATCTGTGTCAATGCCACCCCCAGCTCCCTTTGGTGGTACTGAAGCAAACCACAGGAACATTTCCAGTGCCTGAAGCAGGAATTCATATACATACAGATGACTCAGATCATCTTTAGAGTTGTTTGTTGTTTTGTTTGGTTTTTGAAAGCAAAGTAAGTGATCTGAGTCAAGCCTGGGTTCAAGTTCCATTCAATGGCTGCAAAAAGCAGGTCTGTGAACTTGAGGGTCCCCATTCAAGACCCAAATTGCATCATAAAGGAAGATTCATCCCTGTTTGCTGGAGATGAAAAGGAAGGGTGTGTGGGGAGGGGTCGGCCCACTCACTGCCTCTGTGGTGCTTCTTTCCCTACTGTGGGCGGCTCCTGGAAATAATCTGACCCCAGAGACGGAAAGACACCTGAGTTCTGGGAGCCCAGGCGGCTGGGTTCCAGCAGCAGGACCTGCCACCCCCCCAACTTCCCCCCAGCTACCTGCACAGCAGGATTCTCCTGCCTGGAACCCACTGGGCTCCTGAAGAGCAGGAAACCTAAACCACTGGTTTCTCCATGAGACAAAAAGCCCAGTCCTAGGAAGCCGTTGGAAAAGGTGTCATTCCAAGAAGACATTTCCCAAGGTCCAAGCTGGAATTCACCCGGCTGCCAGCCTAATCCCTGGAAGGATACCCCATGGACCCTGCTGCAGGAGCCCAGGAACATGGGCTTGGATGGTCTCTCCATTTAGCATCCAGGTGAGAGGATGGCAAGGCACTTCCCAAAGCACTGTCACCAGAGAAACGGGAGGTCAGCGACAAGAGCTAAGAAAGAAATAACTTCCATTCTGACCAAGGGAGTTAATTAACAAGAGGACAAAAAACAACAGCTCAGTCACAGGGAAATGAGACAGGATCGTAGAGAAAGCACTTTCGAAACGTGGAAAGACGAAGCAAAAAAAGTGATGGAGCCGAGAGAATGAAAAGTAAGAGAAAAATTAGTCCTTAGGAATTCAGGTCAGGAAATACGGAGCCGGGACAGAATTCACAAGAGGGGGCGAGGGAGGACGTCTTTTGCTCTGGCCCTCACGCTGGCCGGGACCTCAGGAGCTGGGTCTACCGCCCTCTAGCCCTCGGGGTTCAAGGGCAAAGCTTTGGGAGGCAACGCTAGGAATGGCCAGAGCGCAGGATGCTCGGTCCCGAATCGGGGTCAGGGGGAGGGGAGGGCGCGCGCGGCAACTGCTCGGTCCCTGACAAGTAAACAGCTTTCCCCGAACAGGCGCGCGTCCTCGTCCGGAGCCCGGCTGAGGGCCCTGCTCATTCCCATCTAGGGCGGTAGCGGGACACCCCGGATTCCCGGCCCCACGGAGGCATAAAAGGGATGCAATGAGATCAGAAAAGGAGGGTATGAATCAGCCCACACCAGAGAATCACAACGCGAGAGCGGCCCGCTGCCTCGGCCTCCCCAACGGGGTTCGGTCCGCCCCGGGAACGCGCCTCCTCCTCCAGACCCCACGCGCCCCCGGTCCCCGGATCTCCCCAGGCGGACAAAGCCCGGCGCTGGGCGGGGCGTGGCGGGGCGTGGCGGGGCGTGCGCTGTGGGGGGGCACTGGGACCCCGCAGACGCCCGCACAGGTGGGCTCCGTACCGGGTGTCGATGCCGGGGGCGGGGCCCGGTCTCCCTGGAGACGGTTGCCCAGGGGACGCGGCGGGCGGGTCCCGGAGCGACGGGAGGGCGCGAGCCTCTGGGCGGCGGCGCGGAGCCCCGGGGGCCTGAGGGCAGGCCCGCGGTGCGGAGCGGGTGAGCGGGGCATCCGCGGAGGGGCGCGGTCCTGGGCGGGGCCCGGACAACAGGCCGACGCGGGCAGGGCCAGGGGGCGGGGCGTCCCCGGGGCTGGGGCGGGGCCAGCGGCGGCGCGGGCACCGTCGGCAAATTCTCACAGCCCCAGCCAGGCGAAGCTCTGGAGAGCAGGCGTCCGCTGCGCACCTCGTGGACGCTGCTGCAAATCCTCCCGGACCCCCGCTGCTCCCTGCTGGCGGGTGGGGTTGCGCATGGAGTCGGGAACCTCAGCCGCCGCTGGACCCCGGACGGCTTGCGCACGCTGGCCTTGGCCCCCCTTCGGCCTTGTAACCAGAGGATAGAAAATGCCACCTGCCAAGTGAGCCAGGGCCGGTCGTCCGCCTAACTGCTTTCCTCTCCCAGGTTCCCAGGGAATCACCAGAAAGGGCGGGGCAAGGGACCAGTGTCACTTGTCAGGAGCCGGGGTCACCCGAGGAACTGGCCAGCCCTGGCTCTGTGCTCAAATCCAGTGTGCGGGCTGTTCCCCAGCCGCTGGGCCTCCCTCTCCATCGGAGTTTACCTCACATGTCGGATTTAGAAAATAAATGGGTTAACCCGGGACTTTCACGATACACCTATTCATTACAATGAACTGTGCGTGCTGGCATAGCGTGCGTGCAATAGCGCGGTCATCCCCCTGTACTTTGCTCCAGTTTTCATCCAGGCATCACACTGTAAAGTGGGTATTGTTCTCCCTTGGGTTGTAAATGAAGCCGAAGCTCAGAGGGCAAGGAACTCACACACACACAGACACACACACGTCCGCACCCAATCCCACAGCCTCTTAGCAGCAGAGCTAGCTTTGGAAGCACTTTGGACTGGTACCGGGCCCACACGCTTCTTGCCCTGCAACGTCCCAGGTCCCCTCGAATGTTCTTTCGGGTCCACAGCCGGACTTCAACCTGTGTCACAGTGGAGCGCAAGAGGAGGAAGGGAGTGCGAGGTTCAGAGTGACCCCAGAGTGACCCCACCCGAGCGGGGCAGACGTGGGGCAGAACAAAGTGGCCTGAGGCACAGCCCTCGGTGGTCCCAGCTGCTCCGCACGTCTCCGCCTCCAGCCAGTGTTCCAGGTGAGGCGCCCAAGGCAGGGCCCGCCCATCCGGCCCAAAGAGCCTCCCTCCGCCCCAGCGTCGCCTAGAGCCTGCGAAGAGGGCAGGAGAAAAACTCAGCCAGGAGCTCCCGGAAATGTTGAAAAAGCCTGGATGCGCAGACCAGGCGGCCCGGCCGTGGGAGGTCGCGGGACCCTCGGTGAGCTCTGCGTCGCCAACCCCAGCACCCCTGTCAGGGCCGGGGTTCCGGGCGCCCCGGCCACCTCGAGGACAAGAGAGAGGGGGTTCAGGATGGGAGGATCCCCCTCCGTATCCCATCCCCGGATGTCACACACAGACACACTCACAAAAACACACACTAGCGTGCACGTTCACACACACACACGCACTCGGGTAAATTGACACACACAATGACGCACGAAGTCACACACTCCCGCACAAGTACTCAGACACAGAGACCGAAGATACACACACAATTACTCTATGTAAACACACAATGACACAGACGCCGAGACCACAGACACACACGCACTCGTGCGCATTCACACTCAACCTCACTCTCTACCCGCACAGCGCAGCGGGCTGTGCACTTTGCCGACCATCTCTGGAGAAGGCGGAGCCTGGCCACTGGGTGGGAACCGCCCCGCACCCAACCCAGCGCTCCACCGGCTGGCTTCCTCCACGTCCACCTTCACTCCCGGGGACGCTGGCGGCTCGAACCCGGACTCAGCCCGGGTAGGGAGGGGTACCTCGTGGGGGTGGGGGGAGGCAGGACCGCCCTTGACCCACAGGAAGGGGATTTCCCGGGATGAAAAATAAGCCTCAGGGTCACAGCTGGACCTTGGATGGGCAGACAGAGGCTAGGAGGGGTTCTCAGACTGCCATCCTGACTGGGGAGGGGTTGTATCCCTAACAACCCCCAACCAGGAAGGGATAACGACCCCACAGGGCCAAGCCACCAAAGAGATTTTCCAAGGGGCAGACAGGCTTTGGCTGTTCCCATCTCCATAGGCGGCCCCAGGCCCCCCATCCTGCAGACTTCCTTTCTCTCCAGCCTGGGTCTGGTTGAAAGTCAAGCTCAAAGACAAGGTCCCCATTAGCACTGTTCAAATTGGGGTATTATTCTCCTCTGGAGCCAAGAGAAAAAGCCAAGATTCTTTGAAATGGCAAAAGCCACAGAAGTCATCCTGTGTGTATTCACAGATGTACTGGAACTGCACTGACAAATTCCCAAATGATACATAATGTAATCAGTTGTTTGGGAGAGAATTAAGTGAATTAATACAGACACATGGAAAGTCTCTATAACAGTGCCCGGTGTGTATACTAACCACTCAGAAGTGTTTGCTCTCACAGATGGGAAACAGACACAAAGAGATGCAGCAACCTGGCAGAGAGGGAAGAAAAATCCAAGTCTCCTGATCTCCTCCTTCCAAGCTAAGGGATCTTAAGTCCTTTTTGAAATAATAGTGAGGGTATAAAGAAATTAGTTTAGTGGATAAATAAATTAGTTTCACCATTGTTAGAAAGAATAGGGCAATTAGATTCCCAGTCCTCTACTAGCGCCTGCCAGAAGCAGCTCCCGAGCTTGAGGCAAGAAATCCGAAGAGCCTCTGCTCGCACCCGTGAGAACCCTGGGTACATTCAACAGACCTGTAAGAGGGGAGTTGATCTGCTCCATGAGGCACTCCTTCTCCCCATCCTGACATTTCCACGTGAGCTCGCTGTGATGAAATGTCAGCTTCCCTCTGCTGCCCACTGATATCCCAGCCTCCAACCTTCCTGGAATTCTGCTTGGCTCTTCGAAGTCAAACCTGGCACTCAGCATTGCAGGGGGTCAGAATGTGAAAACCCTAAATACGCCACTTTGGCATATTGATTATTTTGAATTAAAAGGAGTTGATAAACAGCCAGTGCACAAAGGACACTCTGAACCTTCTTTATCCCCTAAAAGCAGGAAGTGAATCTCCCATGTGAAAGGGATCTTCCCTGTTCCAGGAGGTAGAAGGCATCCCTAACCACCAGAGACAGGGAGTTTAGGGCCAAGGAGGCTGTGCAAACAAACCCGGTTAACTTTTAAAAAAAAAAAAAATAATTAATTAATTAATTTTTGGCTGCGTTGGGTCTTCATTGCTGCTCTCAGGGCTTTCTCTAGTTGCGGAGAGCAGGGGCTACTCTTCCTTGCAGTGCGCGGGCTTCTCATTGTGGTGGCTTCTCTTGTTGTGGAGCATGGGTTCTAGGCATGTGGGCTTCAGTAGTTGTGGCTCACGGGCTCAATTGCTCAGTTGCTCCGTGGCACGTGGCATCTTTCTGCACCAGGGCTTGAACCCATATCCCCTGCATTGGCAGGCAGATTCTTAACCACTGCGCTACCAGGGAAGTCCCAAACCTTGTTAAGGTCTTCACCATCTTACTACCCCTAGCCCAAACCCCTTGTCTTGTCAATTCTTCACAAATTAATTGTCTAAAAGAGACAAAAGCTTTCTGCTCTGGTGACTTCTTTGAGTCTCATATCTTTGGGGGGCTTCCATACATATGCATGTGTTTAAATTTGTTATTCTCCTGTTAATCTGTCTTTTTACTACAGGGCAGGTGTGGGGAGGCCTCAGTCAAGAACTTAGAAGGGTAGAAGGAAAATCATTTTTCTTTCTCTATAGCATTTTTAGGTGTGGTCAGATAAGATTAAGCTGAGTAGGGACAAGACTAAAAAGGCTACAGTTGAAAAAAAAAAAGATGAAACTAACAACAACCAAAAAAACAAACAGTTAAATGTTTGTTTTAAGTTCTATTGGGAAAAACAGGAAGACTCTGAAGAATAATCCTCCTCAAAGGCGGAAGACAGTTATTCACATAATTCCCCTGTCCTTCTGTTCCCTTGATCTTTTTACTCTCAAGGCACAAGGATGAGGAAACCTAATTACAGGAGTGTCTGGCTCCTGCTTGCCTGTCATCTTTACATATTTTCATTAATCTTTGAGACTCTCACCCCCAGGTAACTCAAAAAGTGGCTCATCTGTAGTTAAAAAGCAAAGTTAATTAGAATCTGGGGCTTCCTCCTTTCTTTTGCTAATTCCCCAAGCTTAGACCAAAAAAGGCTGTCGGAACTGATGCTTCCAGAGTTTGTGATCTGGGGGTGGGGGAGGGGAGGCACAGATTTCAAAAGTGATGCTCATGTCTGCGATGCAACCTGTCAACCCAAAAGCGTGCGTGTTTGCAGGGAATCTCCCCAAGAAAGGTAGGAGCGCCAGCCCTGGAGTTAGATCTGCCTTTGGATGAGTGTCCTAATCCCTCCAGAGCCATATCCTCCCCTGTAAAAGAAGAGCCACCAGACATCACCGACTTGGCCAGTAGAGGTAAGGAGCCACGGGACAGCACAGGTAGGGGGCTACCAGCCGGGCCTCACGGTGGGGCACCTGGTTATATCCTGCGTTCCACCACGGTTTCCTGTGAGTCTTAGGTTTCCAATTCTAGCATGTGATCCTTGTGGGAGGACATGATGTCTTAGACTTTTTTATACATTTTAGAGAAGAAAAGCTATTCCTCTGTTTCTGGAAAAGGTCAATTGTGAATTTTTATTCTGAGAAAATTAGAGTAAGGGGATAAAAAGGGTGCCTGGAACATCAGGGGACCGTGTGAATCACACATCAAAGCTCACGAAAGATACCCTGGGGGACTCGGGAAACTGACCTTCTCGAATCTCCTTGGGAAAACCTCTAGATGTGTTTGAGAAGCCATTGAGGGTAAGGAGATTCAACTAAGGGCTAGGAAATTTTTAAAAGTTGGGTCCAAACGTGAAGAAGGTAAAAAGAATGAATCTGGCAATATTAGACTAAACATATTTACTAAGCTGCAGCTTA